ATGGTGGGACGGAGTGGGCGGGCTCTTAACTAGGGCTTATTTTTCGGGTAGGGTTTATATTAGACACACACCAATAAAATCAGGTTAGGTCTTATTTTGGGGTTGGTCTTATTTTTGGGGAAACATGGTAATACACCCTCCCTTTCATCAGAAAAGAATCAACACCAGTTGAAATTATAATATTAAAGAATTGGCTCTAAAACAGCAGTTCTCAACCTGTGGGTCGCGACCCTTTTGGGGGTCGAACGACGCTTTCACAGGGGTCGCCTAAGACCATCGGAAAACACATATTTCCGATAGTCTTAGGAACCGAGACACTAGTGAGAATTTCTGCTCAAGGCTATTTCCGCCAGCCAGCTCGGGCAGACAGGAAAGCAGCCATCTCAGCAGCATGGCGGGGCTGCGCTACCCATCACAGAGCAGCTACTGCCGCGTCGCATGGCTATGAACCTCCTGCTCAGCGTCTTTCAGGTCCTCTTGCCTGGTTTCCGTCTGGGAGAAGCACAGGGCCAAGGTAAAAAAAAAAAGCCTGGCGAAATACTCCCGAGTGGTAGTGTCGATCTGTAGCGGGAGGTGAAGGGGACGGGTGGGTGGGAGGGGGTCGACCAGAAGGGAACTGGGTCTGATAAGGGCAAAAGTTGAGTGAGGTTTTCCCCCTCGCCCCTTTCTCCACCTCCCTTTGTACAGCAGTGTCTCTGGCTGCTGCCTTCCCAGTCGCCGAGAAAGGGGAAAAAAAGAGCTGTGAGTGAATTCCCCTTTCTGCCTCGTTGCTTAAAGCTTTTTTTTTTTAAACGACCGCTCGTTCAGAACTCCTCAGGGCTTGTTTGCACGAGCTTGTGGCAGATCAGTAAATAAAGGGGTGGGGGAGCCAAACCGTCCAAGGCATTTGCACCCTGAACGTATGGACGCTGCTTTCATGACTTGCCACCACCGCCCCCTCTCTTCCCGCCCTGCTCTGGCAACGCGCTGCTGCTGCTGGCTGAGCTGAGCTGCGGCACCGAGCCGGTCTCCACGCCTCCTGATTGCCCGGCTGCACTCCACCCCCGGCTGCCCTCTGCACCGGAGCCTCCCCGCGCTGCCCAGCCCGTCTCCCTCGCCGTCAGAGGCCACCTCAGCCCTGGGACTGGTGGGCAGGAGCGGCTCCTTCTCGGCTCGCCGGGCTCCGGGCCTCGGAAGCAGCCAGGCAGCAGCGATGCCCGCATCTGCATCGGAGGCCAGCCGGCCGGGCCAGGAGGGGAGAAGCAGCACCTTCCGAGTGGGACCTGGCACTCTGGCTGCGCCCCTCTGACGTGCAACGAGTTGGGGAAGGGTCATGGTGGTGAAGGGCTGCACAGCATGGAAAGGGGCTCCTGCGACCCTGCCGCTGCGATGGCGCTCAGGAGGTTGGAGGGGCAGGCAGGTCCCAGGGGGGAATGCTGGGAGTTGCAGTTCATCACCATCTAGAAAAACATGACTGTCCAAAGATCAATCAATCCTTCCTTCCTTCCTTCCATCTCCTTCCCTTCCCCTTCAATCTCTCCTTCCTTCCTTTCCCCCTCAATCTCCTTCCTTCTCCATCTCCTTCCTTTCCCCTTCAATCTTCCTTCCTTCCTTTCCCGTTCAATCTCCTTCCTTCTCCATCTCCTTCCTTTCCCCTTCAATCTTCCTTCCTTCCATCCATCTCCATCCCTTTCCCTTCCATCTCTCCTTCCTTCCTTCCCCCTTCAATCTCCTTCCTTCTCCATCTCCTTCCTTTCCCCTTCAATCTTCCTTCCTTCCTTTCCCCTTCAATCTCCTTCCTTCTCTATCTCCTTCCTTTCCCCTTCAATCTTCCTTCCTTCCTTTCCCCTTCAATCTCCTTCCTTCTCTATCTCCATCCCTTCCCCTTCAATCTCTCTCCTTCCTTCCTTCCCCTTCAATCTCATTCCTTCCATCTCCATCCCTTCCCTTTCAATCTCTCTCCTTCCTTCCTTCCCCTTCAATCTCCTTCCTTCTCCATCTCCTTCCTTTCCCCTTCAATCTTCCTTCCTTTCCCCTTCAATCTCCTTCCTTCTCTATCTTCTTCCTTTCCCCTTCAATCTTCCTTCTTTCCTTCCTTCCATCTCCATCCTTTCCACTTCAATCTCTTTCCCCTTCCTTCCTTCCTTCCTTCCTTCCTTCCTTCCTTCCTTCCTTCCTTCCTTCCTTCCTTTCCCCTTCAATCTCCTTCTCCATCTCCTTCCTTTCCCCTTCAACCTTCCTTCCTTCCTTCCCCTTCCCTCCCTCCCAACATTTTTGAACAAGAAAGAGTAAGCTTCTCCAGCGAGCATTGCTGTATTGTTTTTATGATTAATCACTATGCTTTAATTATGTTCAATTCGTAACAATGAAAATATCAGATATTTACATTACGATTCAAAGCAGTAGCAAAATTACAGTTATGAAGTAGCAACAAAAATAATTTTATGGTTGGGAGTCATCACAACATGAGGAACTGTATTAAAGGGTCGCGGCATTAGGAAGGTTGAGAACCACTGCTCTAAAGGATAATAGGCAAAGGTGTCAATCACCTCACTTCACATCCCAAAATAGATTTCTACTGAAACTACAGAAAAGGCTGCTAACAGAAAAATAATTAGCTGAATCCAACAATTTACAGATCTCTCTTTCTCACATACACATACACATAAACACATATGTGCATAGATAGAATATTAAGAATCAGTGAGAAATCCAGCATGCAGTTTAGCACTATTTTTTGCTATAAAAAAAATGAAAAACCTTCCTGTAACCTAGCAACTATGGCATATCAGCAAGATTAAATCCTTCTTTCTGTTACATAAAGTAAAGCCTGCTTCAAATCACAATTTGTATCTAATAACTGGCATTTTATTAATACTATTATAAAAACTTAAAAACAAAGCCATTATAGATAACAATCATAAAGCTGGTATTTTATTTTCTATTTCCCGTGCCCTATAATGGAAGAGGAAAAGAAATCTTATACTTAAAGAATGGTCAGTTCATCTAATTCAAGAGCAAACGAAGATTTAAAGTATGATCTTTAATATATGAAGGTCAATGATATTATTTACATGAAACAAACATGAGAATTCCAAAGAGGAACCAAGATCAAGCTTTCCTATTTTCAACTGTTATTTATTAGGACCATTTTCAACACTGTATAACCCATTTGGGAAAAAAAGATAACAATTCAACAGTCAAAATTTAAAATCCCTAAATGAGAACAAAGATTTTAGCAGCATTTAAGTAACAATCATTGTGTGTGTGTGTGTGTGTGTGTGTGTGTGTGTGTGTGTTTCTCTAATTTTAAAGGCAATGAAAAGGTATTAAATGAGTAAGAATGAGATGGAGATCATCCAGTTGTTGTTAGCAATCCTAGCTAGCATGGATAATACTAAAGGATGCTTTCCTTACACCTATTTTAAAACTTATAGCATATATTTAAGTTGGCTCTTTATGCCGTCATCTTTAGAGAAGCATACTTTTTCAGTGACTGCCTCCTCCTATGGAACAGTATTCCATCTCCCAGGATATCTGAACAATTGCTTCTCTTCAGAAATTTTATGAAAACATGGCTGTTCCACTAAATTATGGAATCACATTTGCTATAAATAACTCTCATGGTTTTATTCTTCTCCCAGTTTTATCATATGTTATTACCAGTTATGTTTTCCAGTTTTACATCACCCCCAGTATTATAATGTATAATTTGTTTTTAAATTTGATTTTTATTGTTTTTAATCCCAATTACATATTAGGACTTGCACGCCACGTACAGTGAGCTAACTAGAGCAGCTCTAAGCTATGTAAATAACAAATATTGCCTTTCTATTCATTTGAATCTATTTTTGCCGAAGAAAGTGGGGACTATTTTTTCCTAATTTATTTACTATGCACTGATCACACATAAATCAACTAATCTGCACCATCAAATTACCTCCACCACCCTAATATGCATAGATGTATGCATGCAAGCACACACACACACAAATAAACTTACTTCCTGAAGTGAGGACATAATACCAACTGTGCCTTTGCGTTCACAAAAACTATTATTTCTTAACCAATAATTCCTTCATAAGATGATCATCAATGATCATCAGTTCCTCAAATGAAAAGATAAATAGGTTACATAGTATCTTTTCTCTAAGTTAAACACTTATTTATTGACTACAAAAAATATCAAATCCAGCATGAATCTCTTATATCTAGCACTTTACTCTGGAATACATTTACAGTTGCAATGAATGCTTGTTAAACCCTAAACTAGTTCTCAAAATCTGACATCTCTGTTCAATGACAAACCTTGTCAAACAAAGCATCTTAATATTTGTTACTTAATGTTAAGCAAAGCACTGTGAAGTTTAAATAGTCATGCCCAGCATATAATATGGTGGCATTTTTTAAACCATGATTCAACCAGAAAACCTGCTGCTCTGACAATGCAAATTTTGACCCTTAAAATATTCCATTTTATCTATGCAAGAACAATCTTCCACAATCTGGTATTCTCCAGAAGTTGGATAGAATACATAGGAATTATAATCCAAAACATTCGAAGGGCAACATGTTGGGGAAGCTGATCTAGATAATCTCCTAGCTGTCATAAATCATCCTTTTTACCAACACTTTACAGACTTTAAATAAGATAGTGAAGTATTTTGTTTACATTAAAATTTAGTCCCCCTCAAACTATGAAATAATTGAGCATACAGAGGTCGCAGAAATCACATGAGCATAAGACGTATTTCTATAATTCTGAAAATATTCTAACATTGCATATGGACCGATTCATTGGGTTTCAGCCCAATATATTTACACACACACACACACACACACACACACACACACACACACACACACGTCTATATATATAAAATGAAATGTTCCTCCAGAAGTAATATACGAAAGTAGAAAAGCATGATCCTCATAATTTAAGAATAAAAGAAAATTTAAAACTATTTTAAAGACTTTACAACACTGATTTAATCTTATTTGAAGAAAACACTACTACTCACCACCAGCTCCTTGGATCATGGTGCCTGATTTCTGGACTTCATCAAATTTTGTAAAAATGATGTTCAGCCTGGTTGGAAAAAAATGAAGAATAATGATTTTGTCAGCACTTAAATGACAACCAAATAAAGCACATTTGTTTCTCTAATTTTAAGTCCTTCTTTTTCTCTTTTTTAATTAAATGTAAATGAAAACAAAAGAGGCTAAATATTTTAAAGACTATGGAATTTCAAATCTGTACATAAAGTGAACTATATTTCTCTTACTCTGAGAAAATTTAGTCCATTCTTCAGTCTTAGTTTTAATTTAGTGAAACAAAAGATACAGGTAGTCCTCAACTTATAATTGGTCATTTAGTGATGGACAATGGACCCCCCAAAAAAAACTATTTATGACCCAAACTTTCAACATCCAGGACCCCCTGTGGTCACATGATAACTGGCTCACATACACTGGCAATTTATGATATTTTTGTGGAAACTGGTGTTTATTTCTGGTTTCCAGGAAAAACTGCCCTATAGCAAACAATGGATTCACCTTACAACTGTCAGTTTTGCTTAAAGACTGCCATAATAAGGTTATAAAACTAAGTCTTAGTCATGTGGTTACCTGCTTTATAACCATCACAATTTACAACCAAAATTGTGGGCTCAATTATGGCTGTACATTGAAGACTACCTGCACATACTTTTCCAGGAACATACACGTATAAAATGCCACTAATTCAGAATGGGTTTTAATCTCATTATTTGTAAGATAGTATCATAATTGAGAGTTGCCAAATCCTCACGATAATCTGATTTTTAAAAGTGGACTTCAAAACCTAACAAACGAACAAAACTCAGAAAGAGAAGCTTTTCACTCACCGAGACTGTGGCAATCCCTTTTTGCTGAGATCAGCTCTTACACGTTCACCTACATGTCTGTAGATTTCTACAAGACTATTTATTGCTGCATCACGAACCTAATCATTAAATAACAAAAGGAAAATATTTGTATATGTTCAGCTGCATAAAGAAAAAGCAATGATATTACTCTACACACTGTCAAAACCAAAGCCTTAGTAAAATTGCAAGGCATGGCTAGCTTAAGGAAACTTTTGCAGACTTTCTCTATTTCTTGGCAAACGTACTCTCCATTTTCAAATATTATGAACCAATAATGCTGAAAGTAATTAAACTTACTTTGGTATCCTGTATGATTTGAACTCAGGTCAAATTTTGGTATTTTTCCTTTAGCTGAAACCATTTAATATTAAACTGTTCCACTACAACTGAAGTTTCACTTTGTGGCTTGTGCAACCATACATAGCCCGTGATCTACATGCTTAGCCATTTTACCAAAGCACAAATTGATGATTTGGAAGTTGCACACTTTTGGCTACAGGATGATGCATGCAGACCTAGCATGGCACTTTTACTGCATTATTATTTAATGACCCAGTGTGATGTACAAGCACTACTACCTAAGGCATTGCCTGCTATGCCAGAACAAGAGAATACAATGTCTTAGAAATGGCAATTTCGAAATTCTTATAGAAATGTTATGATACACAGAGAAATACATAATATGGTATAATTGAACCTCCGACAGAACTTTGCACTGAAATTCTTTTTCTAGGAATTCCACTATACCACTTCTATTGCAAAATATGTGAATGTGACAGTAATACCCATTTATTTAATAGGTTTATATTCTGCCTTTCCTTCAAGAGCTCAAGACAGTATACATAGTCCTCATTCCTCCCATGATTTCCTCCACATCAACAATTCTGTGAAACAGAGTAAATTGAGGAAGATTAACTGGCCAAAAATCATCCAGTGAGATTCCATGGCTGAAAATAACTTGAATTTGGGTCTTTCTGCTTCTAGTCTAACACCTTAACAGCCACCCATATTATATCTAGTTATCCCAGGGAGGGGCCATAGCTGAGAATAAAATTGCACATAATTCTGCCTGAAGAAATGGATTCTATTTTCAGAATCTCTATGTAGGGCTAGTGTAAATTCTACAAAGGTATTATCAGCAAATGCAAGCTATCAAACTAGAGAGTTTTATCAGTTGATCTTAAGAGTTAGCATAAGGCAGTTTCCCATATCACGCTGAATACACATCAATTTATGATTAAAAATAACTATAGTTAATTTCAAGACATTTGGCTTTAGAAGTCGCAATAGGTTCATCTTCATTTAGCTTCTTTGAAATGACCACAGTTAGTGTAAATCAGTATTCCCAATGATATGCAGACAATAAAACCATGATTAAACAAAAGTACAAGCTTTCAAAATTCTTCTGAAGGAACCCAAGATTCTTAAAAGCTTAGTGTAATTCATGCTAATAGCCTGTCTTACTATATTTTAGCTTATTGGAAAATAATTTCTATACAGATAGTTCATGATTAATGACCGGTCACTTAGTGACTTTTGCTTAGCCAGGGGGCTACTTATGATCCAGATTTGAAGTTCTGACAGTTGAGGCCCACCTGTTGTCACATGACCAAACTTTGGGAGCTGGGCAAAAGGTTGCATTTGTGTCTGTTTGCAGCATCTGTGATCAAGTGATCGTTTTCTCTGACAGTTTTGCTGAAAATGGCATTTACTTCTGGTTTTCAGCAAAAGCATGCCCATAGCAAACAACTGGTTCACATAATGACCATATAGCTTGCTTAAGAACTAGGACAGATGCTTTACAACTACTGTGCTCACTTAATGACCACTGCAAAAAAATGTCATAAAATCGGGTTGGACACCTAATCAGCCTATTTTACGACCATTACCACTTATGTACAGTTGTAAGTCAAGGACTACAATGCCTAGATTATTTTGTAAGAAATTCTCCTTCTAAGGCATTGATGTACTACCAATTCTTGCACTTTTAGGGGTAATATAGAGTTAAGTTTCCTTCTGAATAAACCATTTCAACCATATGACGGTGCATATTCAAAGAATGTAACGATACAGGTCCCAAGCACATCCTCATTTCTATAAGAGTTGTGTTGAAAGAGACAGTACTTCATTGAGAGGTCCTTGGGAGAGGACCAAAGACCCCTCATTTCAACCCTGAGATACAAACACCTTTCTTTATTGATAGCACTTAATTATTTATACTTCCTTCTAAAGCCAAAGGACAGAAAACAAAGTGAATTTTACAGATCTATTTCTATATCCATCAACTGACCTTGGCTGTTACAGATTGCTTACACAAAGGCCTACTTTTCATATTACCCTAAACCAGTGTTTCTCAACCTTGACAATTTTAAGGCATGTGGACTTCAACTCCCAGAATTCCACAGCCAGCAATGCTGGCTGTGGAATTCTGGGAGTTGAAGTCCACATGCCTTAAAATTGTCAAGGTTGAGAAACACTGCCCTAAACGGATACTTAAAATTACTTTTACAAGTAGGACCAAATTCCTATAGTCCTCTCGCCTCCTCCACTTTTTCCTCCCTCCTTGATATTAAGGGTCTTCTTGACTTCAACCTTACATAGAAACAGGTTCATTCATACAATTGAACTAGAAAAAATGTTTTAAAACCAGTTGCAACAAATTTTAAACAAGTTAATTATAAACATGGCTAGGTCTGCATATTTAGGCAGCCAAGGTTTGCTTTGAATTCTATGTACACATTTTGTGTAGAGTTAAACGGGAAATAAAAAGGGAGGGAGATGCTCATGACTTCTTAAGTTTTTTACTGGGATTTATGTCTGCATGTACATTTCCTGCTTACCTGAGAACCAGGTTATAGTGGTTCTTCCCACTACCATTTCCCCACATCATCTCTCCCGTCTATAAGGGCACTGTTCAGAAAGCACATCATGGTTTGATGTTGTGATGAAACAACACAAAGCTAACAACTGTACTTGCTTACAGAAAAAAACAATTGCTGAAACAAGGCAAACAAACAATTGCTGAAACAAGCAAACACCATGGCCAATTTTCCAGTTAAAGAAAATTTCATTGAGCAATCAATGTGTTTGTGTGTTTCAATATTTCTTGGTAAGAAAAGAAATCTTCTCATTTTTTAATAATGTCTATTCATGCAACTCATTATTTTAACCAAGTATTAAATCAATCATAACAGGATGGGTTCACACAACGCAGAAAATCACAATCTACTATTTATCCATCCATGGATTATTTTACCTTCTACTTAAATGAGTAGGCAAAGCAGATAACAACGTTAAAACAAAAAGTACAGACAGTACAGAAAGTTCCAAAATGAAAGTTAAAATCAAAGTAAATTAAACAACAAATAAAAGAGTCAATCTGATAATGATAAGATGATAAGTGGAAAGAATGAACGAGTGAGTGAGTGAATAAGTAGGTAAGTGAGCGCTTGGTAGAAAAGATAGTCCTTTACAGTTTTCTAAATCTAATGATAGCAGCCACCAAACTGCAATTCCCAAAGTAATTCACTCCAGGCCAGGACTTCTCCTGTGTGGTAAACAAATCTCTGAGTGAATGTACCTGGCAAAGCATCTTTTTTCACAACTTAATGTGGAAGCAAAAAAACTAAAAGCGTCAAAGAGAATGTCATCATTATTCATCCAATTATGGAGACCATTTCTGAAGGCTTTGAGAAATAATATCAGAGCAGATTAGTAGACAAGCTGGAACTGCCTAAGGAGATCACAATCCATGAAAGTATCTGTAGTAATAAATATGGCATATATAAGGTGCCACAAGACATTTTGCAATGTGTTGCTGCAAAAGACTCATCTAGCTAGCTTTATGGTAATTTGTATGGGCATACAATTAACTATCTGACTTTCAGTACAGTCTAGCATAACTGATCACATTTCAATCCTTCCAGCCTTATACCCTGGTTTGCTAGCCATAGATAACAATAAAAATGCAGAGATTAGTACATTAATAAAAAAGGACCACATTTTCCCTTAGCATTAACATGGAATCAAAGTATATTCCTAGAGAAGGAAAATATCCTCCTCCAAAATCAGTGTACCACTGCAGCAGATTGTTATTAGAGGAATCAAACTCTGTTTCTCTTCTATCGGTATGCGCAGATTACTAACTTTTTGTCAATATATTTACAGTAAACCTGCAAGATAAACATGTTTCTTGCCATCATGATTAATGGAAGAAAGTGTTAAACAATCTTTTAAAAGCTCATACTAAAAATCTGGCTTTTCTAAATTTTACAGACAGCTTTGGATCTCCTACCTTTTCTAGAGACAAGAAATAATATTTCTTGTTTTTTTTAAATAGGGGGAATGAGAATTAAGTGAAAGTAGACTAAGACAAAAGCAAAATAATTTATCATGCTGAACAGCAACAGGCTTGGCTTTTGATTTTCTTTTGGCATGATGCAAGAACCCAGCCATAGTGGTTTGTAAATCTAGACTTATAGTAGTTAAGTGTGAAGGAGGCCAATATAACTTATTCAGCCAATAGTTAAAACCAATCTGATTTGTTTATTAGATTAATTTAATCCATACTATCCATCTTATTTAATGTTTTTAGCTGTTTTTATGTTTTTTTTTAGTTTTGTGTAGTTCCCAGATTACATTGGAGTTAGACTGCCAATACATTTAAATAAATAACATAAATAAAATGAAAATAAGTGAACTATTCATAGGAGGAATCTTGGTCAATATACACTGCATCAGATTTGGCATCCACTTCAGACTCAAGGCCCTAATCTAAAGCATTTAATCTCACTTTTTTAAAAAAGCAACACTTTTTAAAAATGCAGAATAGTTTTGCTTAAGCTGAACTTTTGAATTCTGCACAAGGACCTCTAATACACTAGAAGATCACAGAGGTGAGATGGGTGGTGTAGAAATTTGATAAATAAATGTGGTTATAATGAAAATATAATTTGAATGGCCTTACAAATGATGTCATAATAGGTCAATGTAGCCACCTATCTTTGATCAGCATCAAATACTGATTCAGAAGGGAAGTTCCAGTTTAAAAAGAGGTTAAAATCCAAAATTGATCTAGGGAGAACACACATACGCATCCAGACATTAACAGTAGCATTTCCAGAAAATACTTACCTCTTCTGTATTTTTGTCTCACAAAGGTGCAAACTTTTCTAATTAATCCTCCATTCTTCTTTCTCACAAATCATACTCATCCTGCCAGCCATCCTCACTAGGCCTCTATCCTCCTCCCAAACGGTCCTTCCATGCTGTTCTTCCACCTATCTGGCCTATCATGGCTGAAAGCTCTTTTTGTCTCCATGGTAACCACAGGTAAGCCACTGTGTTGCAAGACTAGAGGGAAGTAAGACTTTGCCAATAGACCGCACAAGGTCCTATCATCTTGAGGAAAGGAATGATCACAGGAGGGACAAACATACATGTTAAAGGATATTTTTGTGCATCCTCCCACCAAAACTATGTATGTATGTATGTATGTATGTATGTATGTATGTATGTATGTATGTATGTATATTTTTCCCAACTGTCACTGTTCAAGGGTACAACTGCTGATAGGCAAAGGTTCTGGAACCTGGACTTCCACTACTGGCCTTACGTATCCCACCCATGCCCTGGGATAGGAAGAATCAACTCAGGATCCCTGGGCAATTCCAATACCTCACAAGTAGCCCACCTCATTCCCCAAAAGAAATAAACAAAAAGGCAGATAAACAACAGTCATTTTTTGTATATAGATGAAAAAATATATTTCAGAGAACTACCAAAGAATAAGACCGTGCTGTTAGCCCCATCTTCAGAGAGCCAAGTATTAGTGAAGAATTACCCATGAGAGAGGGTTATTTGCATTCAGAAGAGTAGCACTACAGAAGAAATAAAAGGAGAAAACTTAAATGTACATTTTCTGTCACAGTCACTAGCATTTCCTTTCAACAACCCAGCAACTAATTTGCCTTACAGCAGACATGTCAAACATAAGGCCCGTGGGCCGGATGCGGCCCGATATGTGGTTCTGTCCGGCCCGGGGACCTACTCTGGAAAGAGTGAAGGACTGGCCCGCCACACCTCGGACCGGCCCAGGCTGACCGGGCACTGATCTACAACCTGGTTGCATCCATCAAAGCCAGAACGTGCTCAGCATTAAATCCACGGGGCAGCTCTGTCCCGCCACTTGGGTGCACACGCAAGCGGAGTCCAGCGTCCCTGCTGCCTGTCTTGCCCTGCAGGCTGACTTCACCAGGATGCCAGCACTGGCCGTCTCCTGTGCACACACCCGGGGGCAGGGCAGAGGTGGCGAGGCAGCTCCTTGCTGGTTCCAGTGGATCTTAGCCTGAGCACGTTCTGACTTTGATGAATGCAACCAAGTTGTAGATCAGTGCTGCCCCGCCCCCAGCACCTCCAGCCTTGCAGCCACGAGGCTTTCCTTTCACCAGCACAGCCCCCCCCCCATGCAGGATAGCAAGACCAGCGGCAACATGGCAGCTCTGGCAATCTCTCCCCCTCCCATCACCCCTTCCTGAGCACGGGGGAAGGAAAGAGATGAGAAGGCAAAGGGGGGAAGGGAGGGTGTGAAGGAGAGAGGAAGGAAGGGAGGGGAAAAAGGGAAGGAGGAAGGAAGGAACAGAGGGAGGAACCAGGAAAAAGGAACGGAGGGTGAGAGGAAGAAAGGAAGGAATGGAGGGAGGAGAGAGGAAGGAAGGAAGGAAGGAAGGAAGGAAGGAAGGAAGGAAGGAAGGAAGGAAGGTAGGTACAGGGAAGAAGGAATGGAGGGTGGGAGGGAAGAAGGAACAGAGGAAGGAAAAAAGGAACAGAGAAAGGGAGGGAGAGAGGGACCATGTCCCGGCACTCATCCCAGTCCCATCCTCCTCTACCTTAGACCCTCAGATCTGTCCCAGTCCTGCCCAGGCACCTTTGAAGTGAGTAATATCGAGCTGCCCATGCCCACCCCAGCTACACCACCCAGTAGGCCACACCCATCCCAGTCCCCCAAGGGCAACCACAATGCTGATTTGCCCTCAATGAAATTGAGTTTGACACCCCTGCCTTACAGCAACAACATGAGGCACTTAGTTTATTCCCTTTCCTGCAGGAAAATTGGAGGAAAAAAGATAAGTGATTTAAAATATTATTCTGTCAGTTTCTTTCAACTTGGTGTCTTCTTGATTGGTTTGGGCTACAGTTTCTAAAATTCTCTGCCATCTTGGCCAATACTCAGTTCATATAGAAAGTACCAAGCTGGACAAAACAGTTCTAAATAAATTTTGAGTTATATAAACAGGAAACTGTTTTTAATAAAATCCAATGCTTTTTTGTATATAAAAAAAAAGGTGCCGGAACTCACACATGTCATACAACCCGCCTTGCCTACCCTACAAGGTTCCATCCAAAAATGGTGCCGGAAATCCATTCTGGGCGTTCTATGACAAAAAAAGCCTTGATGTTTAGTTAATCATCATAGATTTCATGGCAGATTAAGAGAAAAATAAAAAAACGTATTTCACTAAAACAGGCACGCAAGTTTATTTTTTATCGTTTAAATATCAATAAAGTAAGTCCCAGAAGCAAAACACTGATTCTATGGATTTAGGGGGAACTATTCATTGGTGTACTTATCAAAAGTTTTTTTGCAATGCCCAATTCCAAATTTCTGGGTAGGATACAATAATATAGAACAGTATAAAAGAGGCATCCCAATTACCTCATTTTATACAATTAAAATTCAATAATAAAATACATGATGGCCCCTAAAGAGAGCTTAGGTACACCTGCTAAGAGCCAGATCAATATACAAAAACATGGCCAACGTTATACTTGGTTGGATTTTCTTAACAGTGGTTTTCATAATAAAGTTTATCATGCGGCATTTACTTTTTAGTGCTATATTAAGCTTTCTACTCAAATGAATTATCTGAGCAACATGGAAACTCTTTGCAGAAAGGAATTAGAAACTCAAAGGTATTGGTACTCTTGCCTACAATATTTAAATCCTGGCATCCATTCTAGGAGTAGTGAATGAAGATAACTGCATTTTTTTTCTTACAGCACAATTATTATATGAAGAAAGAAAGCAGAAGGTGAAAAATCATGATAAAAATTAGGATTTGGAATAATACAGTAAAGGTCTGAAATACATTAAATATCGTTTAAATATTGAAAGCAAAGTTTTAATACTACATAATCCTTTAAGGTGCAAATCATTTAAAAGAACAAAGAAAATACCTCAAAGAAAAGCCCAAACAATTATTCAAAAGCAAACCAATCTAAAAATCAATGGTCTTTTCTACTTTGTTTCAACTAGAAATAAGAATACTGTTATCTTTTCAGACTACACCAAATTTCCTCCCAAATTATACCACCCCAAGCCTGTCTGGCAGTTTCTAAGATTAAATCCACAAATCCAGAAGCAGTGTGAAGTGTTCCAGATGAAATTGTGGAACACTAGGTTCCCAAAATGATGGATATATTGCAATTAACAAGACAGTGCTGGTTCACTGTGGCTTTACAGCAATTAGTGAAAGATAGATTATGCTCTGATAAGATATGAATTATCTACCCCTTTCAGTAAACTCCAATTATTAAATTAACTGAGCTATTTTTAGACCACTTCATATCCATTAATAATTAGGTTCATTTCTAATTATATATGGATCGGAACTGGTACAATTCTATCTTGGCCTGATCAGGAGAATAACAAGATTTTTGCAAAGAACATGGTTTAAAGTAAGTCAGGCTCAAAAAGATTAAGATGAGGAATAATTAGGAAATGTCTACATTTTTGGGAAAGACTAGCTACACCATACCAAGAAACAGAGAAAAATACCTGTAAAACAATGGAAACCTTCCTCTTTACACTCTAATAACAGTTGGTCTCCAGTATTTGTTAGGACAGTAGCTGATTTAAAAATGATTTCGAAGAAATATTTATACCTAGTGTCCACATAACCTCTCTGCTATTCATATGACCTCCTGCTATTCCTTAAAGCAGGCAGGAATTTTTTTCAGGCTTCAACATCAGGCTGAAAAAACATTATTTTGTCACATTAGTGACACTGTTTTAATAATAGGATTAGTAAATCGGAAATGAAAATAGGATGGAAGAAGAGAGCCAACAATTTCAACCATTCTTTATATTGTCTATTCACACATAAGTTTTCATACAAAACAGTCTTCAATCTATGAATCAGCTGCAGCAGTCAAAATATGCATTGCAAATGTCTCAGCATCCTTTTGAAAGTGTACACAGTTTGAGCAGAAAAGCTGATCTCCTACTAATTAATTTAAGCTTATGATTTCAGTGCAATACAGGTAGTCCTTGAGATACGATAGTTGACTTAACTAATGTTCAAAGTTACCACAGATACTCCAAAATTATATATGACCCTGTTTCAAATGGCCCCTGAGGTCATTCAACCTTACGATTTTGCATAATATCTGTCAACATGTCTTAAATTAATTGCATGTTTTCCTGGAATTGTGGAGCAGTAGTCATGTGAGTCCCAGAAAAAAGAGCTTCCATAAGGAGTTACTGCTTAAAGATAATGATACATATTTTAAAATATATAGGTACCTGCTATCAATAAAAAAAAAAAAGTTAAAACTTTCCCGGCCATATGAATGTGGTGTGGTAAAGCTTTGAAATAAAATAAAACGCAAATAGCAATAGCACTTAGACTTATATACTGCTTCACAGTGCTTTAAAGTCCTCTCTAAGAGGTTTACAGAGTCAGCATATTGCCCCCAACAATCTGGGTCCTCATTTTACTGACCTCGGAAGGATGGAAGGCTGAATCAACCTTGAGCCTGGTGAGATTCAAACTGCTGAGCTGCTGGCAGCTGGCAGTCAGCAGAAGTAGCCTGCAGTACTGCATTCTAACCACTGCACCACCATGTCTCATAAAATAAAGCCTCTAGCACAGATATTCTTCCCCAGGAAGGATATAAGTAAGCAAATATAGAGCATTAAATACTCACCTGGCTGTTTGGGTCACCAAGCAAGTTACATATATGGGGCACAATCTTGCTCAAGGTTAAACTCTGAGCTCCAGATCTAAAACAGAGGAAGAAGAGAAAAAGAAAGCAAGCAACATATCAACTAAAGTATTTTTCAAAGCAACTGAATGCAGATATAAATTAGGCATAATAGTCCAACTTACGCATTAAGAGTTGCAATAAGGCAGAGGCAAATTCCTTCTCTTGTCCGGAAATTCTTGTGTTTGAATCCTCCCAAAATTCTGTCCCACACGTACTGTCACATAAATATAAGAAAGTAAGGGGAGGGAAAACACCCTAAACCAAGATCAGTTGCATCTGCTTGATCCTGAACATCCTATTGTCACAAGATAAGGAAGCGTGACAGGATTGCACATGTAATGTATATGTGCGGATGCATAAATGAATGAAAGCAGTGTAGGCAAGTGCAACTAATTTAACTATTGAAAAATATTTTAGAAGTTTATTTTTACTGGGTGGGAGTATACTGAAATGGCCTCCTATCTTATCCATATATAAAGGCTCTCAAAAGTTATGTTTTGAACATCAAATTAAAAATACCTTGTGTAAGATTCCACTGTTCTGACAGAATGCTAAACATATATTATTTATACATAAAATACTTCATAATCTATAATTTTATTCAGAAGTTTTAAAGCACAGATAGGCAACCTGTTGTTACAATCTCAAGTACATCCTAATCTCTATTCTGTAGACCCAGAATATTCCGACATCATGACAAAAACTTTTTGATGGCAACTGGTTGGATTTCATTAGCATCTTTTATTTTATTTTATAGCAAACAAAATCTTATCTATTACACCATTTAAAGGAATAGACATACAACCTGAGGAATTAATAAATATTAATGAGCAAAAAACAAAGACAACATGTTCTCCATGGAAAAGGTCATCCTGCTACTTTAAAAATGATCAGTTTGATTGGTTTGCTTAATGACTGTGGTGTTCAGTTAATGACCAGTGCAAAAAAGGTAATAAAATCAGGTCAAGTGATGACACACTTAACAACCAGCACAACTTACAACCATAATTCCTGCCTCAATTAGGGTGGTAAGTTGAGGACTACCTGTAGCTATGGAACTATGGCAGCTAAATTACTGACTTTTTCTCAGAGTTCTTACAATATATTTACTGTTGTTTAATCGGTTGAATATAATGCAAAGTAGACTTTTGAGCATAAAGGGCAGAGGTTGAGGATCTTCTTAAATATTGCTCTGCATAGATTATAAATAGAAACTTTATGTTCAAGGACTGAAATCTAATCAGCATCACTCCCTCCCTATCTCCATTCCCCTGTGCCTGTTTTGTTCTTTTTGGTACCTACAAAAAGTATGCTTCAATTCCGGTTTATTTCAATTTAAAAAAGGAGCACAAATACTCTGAACAAACACACAGGTTAGCTGTATGCTCCAGCTTTATCACATCATAAAAAGATTCTTGATTATGTTCTTGGTCACTTCAATTAAGGATATTTTCTGCACTGATATCAATCCTGCTACTGTTGTGCTGGCTTCCCAAAGTACTGAGGACAATTTTGCTGCTATAGTCCTTCTTCCACCTGTATGCTTTTGATAGATACACAGCACCCATCCTATTTGAACAATAGAGTTTCTTAGGCATAATAAAAATGTCCATTACGAATTGAGCCCTCTTGTGAAAAGTTTTCTTGGAGCAGGTACCATAGGTTTGCCTGACTGCTGTACGTTTCCAAGAGCTCACCTGGGGACTAGCAGCTTGTTCCATGATTTTTAACAACAGGGCCTGATCCTGCTCTCGTACGGAGTCTTTTGAATCTCCCAGTCTGTCAATTAGACTAGGTAACACTGGAGACAAAAAGAAAGGCAATCACAAAGGAGGATTCAGAAAAACAGAGTTGGTATTTCAGATCAACACTAAAATACGTCTACCCAAATGCCTCTGACGGTGTTTTGGTAAGCTGCTCTTATAGAAGAAACAGAAAAAGGCTGTGAAAAAGGCTGCCCTGCCATTATGATGCTTGTATATGCTGCAAGCTTTCCAAGTATGTCCAATCATATTTATTTTCATGTACTGTATTAATGGCTGCTTCCTGTAAACTACCCAATACAAGTAGACTTTGCTTAATGACAAGTCACTTAACAATCATTTGAACCCCCCAAAGTTACTTACAACCCATCCTCAAAGTTAGGATTGCCACACATACACCAGCAGTCATGTGACTGCACTTTAGGTACTTGGCAACCAGTCATATTTACATAAATGTTAATTAGTGACATGAGACTCTTCGGGACACATGGATCCTGCTACAATAGCAGTTGGAGGCTATGGTTGGGGGGGGGGGAAAGATAGGTGTGTTTTTCCAGCTGCTGCTGGTGCATTGATTGTGACCCTAGCTGGGGTGGTAAGATTTTACTACAGTGGCTCATGTCCTCATTTTCACCACTTGCTCACTGAAACACACAGTACCTGGGGCTGTCTCTGAAGATCACACGGAAGAATGCAATTAGTTCAGAGTGCAGTAGTCTGTATGCTGACCAGTGTTTGCCAATGGGAATACATTATACCCAATGTTGCGGGACCTGAGTGGTTGCTAATAGGCTCCAGGGTACAATTTAAAGTGCTGGCATTAACTTTTAAAACCCTAAATAACTCGCTGCTAATTATTCGCATGAGTAGATTCACTCATTGGAATTGCCCTGACTGGTTCAGCCTATCTTCGAGAAACTATTAGTAGTGTCTGCTTTAAGGAACATAAGGAGAAATGTTCCTTTTTTTATGCCCACCTGACTGCTTTCTGAGCTTTTTCAGAAGGCATTTTGATTTGATAAGCTTCATTTTATTCATTAGTTTGTGAACACTTATTTTACGCTTTTACTTGATTGTATATTTATGTTTCTTATGTGCAAGAGTCCTTAAAGGTTCAGCAATCTCTACTGTAAATGTAAATAATAATTCAGTAGCATCACACATATATGAGACTCTTTCACAGGTACTGACTTTTTTAGATTTTTTTTTTATCCTGCCTTTATTATTTTTATAAGTAACTCAGGGCAGAGAACATATCAAATGCCACCTTTTCTTTCTATTTTCCTTACAACAAGAACCATGTGAGGGGGGTTGTGCAGAGAGAGCTGGTTGTCACAGCTAAGGTAGGATTAGAACTGACAATCTTCTGGTTTCTAGGGCAGCACCTTAACCATTACACCAGGAGTATCAAACTGCAGGCCTGCGGGCCAGATGCGTCATGCGGAAACCACGCCCACCCCAGTTCCAGCAAGGGGAAAAAAGTTGCGATACATCACAACACGTTCGCACGACGCGGCGAGTTTGACACCCCTGCACTACACCAGACTGACTCTTCATGACTTCCCAATGTCCTGTACAAGCTCAAAGGTATATTATCCAATCAGCTGAAAACTAGCATTAGCGTGATTGGTGCCGAGTCTATAATTTCATTCAAGTGCTTGTAGCATTCAGGATATAATCATCTCTACTTTAAAAGTGACTTACAAAGAGTTAACCTCTAAACTATGAGACAAAAAAAAGTTTGAAAAGAGAATATGAGCCTGGATTTTTAGCTAGATTCTTTGATTACAAACTAAATTCCTTTTCCATCTTTTTCCCAATCGACAGTGTGCCCATATTTTTTAATGTTTTGCACACTCTGCAAGAAAGAGTCTCTTTCCTTCTTCTCCTTGCCCCAACAATGCAGATAGACGCAGGTATAAATATATTTATTATTATAATATATGCCATTAAACAGAATAATCAAGTTTTGGATTGCAAACTCTAGGGCACACTTTTTGTTGCTGAGTTCACACCACCTACTAAATCCTAAATCAGGGCTCATACAATTGCTGTATTCCTATGACATATTTAACCAAATAAGCAAGCCATATTATGGCTTAACATAGTGGCCTATTTCACACAATGTGCTAAAACACGTTGTGATATTAAAGTTGGATTCCCACTGGATCCTGAACCATCTAACTCAGGGGTGTCAAACTTGCAACATCATGTGACGTGTCATGATGTATCACAACTTTTTTGCTTTTGCCAACAATGGGGTGGGCACGGTTTCGCTATGATGCATCCAGCCCGCGGGCCGGCCCTGATCTAACTGCATTTTAGGTTAGTATATTGTATGAACCCAGCCTGTTCCTCAGCGAAAACTGTAAAAGCAAAATAATTATGCCATTTTTTTTATCTAACACTATTACAATGCAAAGTAATTTCCATCTTCATATCAATGGCAAAGTTCCTGGTTTTTTTAATTATTGCAGGTTGCTGTTAATTCTAACTAACAAGTTAAGAACAAGCTGGCTCACACATATGACCCTTAGTTTCATCATGAAATAAACTTAATTTGAGGGCAAGTCACCAAAGACAGTACACCCTGTTTAATAGAGCAGCCTATCCCTTGGCTCCAGTTACCTCACCTGTGCCAATTTGAGCTTTAAATCTATCTTGAAGCCGTGACACCAGTGCAGATAAGATGTCCAAGCCTAGCAGGACAACCTGAAAACAAACAAACAAACAAAAAAGAGTAAAAAAGATGCAGGCAATCTCTGAATATGGAAAAGAAACATGAATATGAAACAGTGAATATGCAATCTTCTAGGTAACCAATGTTGTAGACAAGACTGTAATTAGGCAACTGCTACTGAAATAAATAAACCCAATTCAATGACTAAGATGGGCAGAAACCAATGTCCTCTCTGATGCTTTGCACCTTTATTGGAGTAAATCCTCTAGTCAGTTATCCAACTTTGCTCAGGACAGTAAATGTTCTATTGCTAATTCTGTCCTTGCTTCCCATATACTTAAATAGCAGGTTAAGGATTCTGGATTAGAGAGTGATATTAAAGTTTTAAACTTGGTAGTTTATTATAGATTAATTAACCCACATTGTAAGTCCAGGCAGAAGAGTGGAGGAATGAAGGCCAGTTATGTAGTGTTGTATTCTGTTTGTGGTTTTTCTTAGTTGTGATTCAGGAAACCTAGCCAATGTCTATGCAACAGCTCAGGAAAATGCAAATAAGTGGAACAGCTGCAAGTCTAAAGATTAATTTCCATAAAAGTTACCAATACTGGTTTAAGACAAGCAAGTGAGGAGAGAGGCGCATTATTTGAAATACATAAAATGGCAAATCCAACTATACTGAAGATGCACCATTTTGTAACCTAAAAGTTATCAGTAAGCAAATTAACATTAACAGTTTCAAAAAACTGGGTCAAATATTGCATAAGTTGAAGTTGTTGATGTGTTTACCAAACTTATTACATTTTGAAAATGATACCATGTGGTACCATAGCAGTAATAAAACAATGTATTCATATTCAATGATTGTTATTTAAAATAATGTCCAGTTAGCATTCTTTATTAATAATCTTTCAAGATGTTATCAAAGCCATACTGATGTCTTGGGGGGGGGATCCTTATGTGGGCAGTACATTTATGACTAACCAAAGGATTAGAGTCATTGAGAATTGAGCAGCATATAAGATTAATAAATGAATTATGGATTTTGAATAGATACTTCAAATACATACTTCAAACAAGGTGGAGAGGAGAAGAGACCAATAATGCAGTATTTGCATTTAACTTATTCCAACTCTTGACACCTTTAACACAATTACTATGAATGTATTGGTTTACATGTAAAACACCCTCAAATTTAAATTAAAGGGTCAGAGAAAAATAACTTATGTTACACATGAAGGGTAAGATGTAAACTTTCCCAAAATTACTTTTTAAAAATACTAAGTTAAAAGCAAAAGAAAAAAAAAAGAAAACCTAAATTCTACAAAACTATAATTTTAAAACAGCCCTTATCCCTCCTGCAAAATGTTCTAACTACAAAGCTTGGCACTCTTGGATTTGCAGCCACAACAGATCTGCAAAGAACCAGACTGGAGAAGCGTTTGCATGAAGCATCCTGAAATGAAGCAAACCTAATATATATTTTAGAAAACCTTTAAGTACCAAGTTTATGTAGTTCCCAGAATGTATTTGCTACAGAATTCAGAGATAAATAGACTCCAACAGCACACAAAACTCCAAACACAGAAGGAATTTACCTGCAGAACTTTTCTGTTACAGGAAGCTTACCCATCTAGGGCAGCCTTCCTCATGCCTCTGCCTTTCAAGAGCACTGGACTACACCTCCCACAATCCTCCTTTGTGGAAGTTGCTGCCTAATGACGTGGGGTTGCGTCCGTATGGAGAAAGCTGGTCTGTAACATTCTTAAGGGCTTCAACTAAAAAAAAAAAAATATCAACAGTCCTAAACCCAACGGGGACACGTATAGGCATGCAGTCTAAAGAACCCTAAAGAGGAAGTGAAGAATGAATTCTACCCCCCTCGCTAGGCAGGCGCGCCAAAACAAGATCTTCACAAAACGAAAGGTATTGCGTCGAAGCTTAAGACCGCCTCCCCGCTATGCATAGTCATAGCACCGCCCACTATGCAAAGCGACTGCTGCAAGGTATTTTGGGTAACCTCCAAACTCACGAAGAGAGGGGCCGAAAAGCTGCTTGCTTTGCAAATACTTCACAAACGAGATTAAATAACACGCCGCCTACATAAAGCAGTCTGAGCAAACAAACGAGGGTCGCGCCTCACTATAATCTCAATGGGTTTCCCGTCTACTTCCCCAGACTACCGCCTGCGCGCTTGTTTTCAACCATCCTTATCTTGGGGTTGCGCTACTGTTCAATGAACGTCTAGTGAGGACAGTACTGCTAACACCTACACAACACACTCGGCATCCTTGGGGCTTGTTCCCCAAATGAGGTGCAATTTTTGGAACCTTATTTTAATAAGCCCCAACGGGGTACGAATATCAGTAAACAATGTTGCTATGCGTTATCTTTATGTTTTGTGCTAGATAATAATAGTCTTGTGAACTGTACTCGTGGGTGTCCCTGCAGAGTAGCTGGTGTCTAATTTTCATTCGTTGCCACCAGGTGGTGCTACAGGTTACTTGGTACACCCAGAACAAGCAAGCAAGTTGTGCTAGGAGGTTTAGAGTATATTCTTACGACTTCTGCATCCTAAAGCAATTGCAGTCAATCTGGCCATTTCCATAGGTACTATTTAACAACAACAAAAATCCAGACTGAGCCAAGAGGAGAGAGATTGGAATTCCACACACAGCCTCTTTCAAAATGACTTCTTCCAACTATTTAATATAGTGTCTTCAATTACCCAAACCATCTGACAAATCAGAAAAGATAAAAGTTGTCTGCAAAAACATTAATAGATGGTTAAGGAAGGCAGGTGGTTTCTTTCCCAATGCTTCACTGTTAGCATTTGCAGGGAACATGAAGATCAAAAAAGCTAAAGCAGTATTGTGCTCGTTTTCAACTGTTTTATCAGAAGAAAGCTAAAGCAGTGTTGTGCTTGTTTTCAACTGTTTTATCAGCTTTGGACCAATCATCCTCCTTTAGGCAAAATCTGGGGAGAATCCCCGAGTCAGTGTTGACTGGTGAGTGCCTAGACAAGTCCCTGAGATTTTCTTGGCAGGGTTTTTCAGCCTTGCCCTTGCCTCCTACCCAGGGCTGAAAGAATGACTGGCCCAAGGTCACCCAAGGGAGGAGCTGGAATTCATGGTCTCCCAGTTTCTAGTCTGGTGCCATGACACCACACCCAACTGGCTCAAACCGAAACTAGCAAAGTGGAAAATTTAGGCCTTCCCCTGCCTCCCCACCCCCACCCCAGACAGCAATGTAAGAGGAAATGTATTGTATGTTTCTAACCAAGGGCCTTTAATTACTATAACTAACCTGGCTGTCTTTTTAGGGCAAGCCTCCCCCTTAAGTCAAACTGAATTCCTGACAACTACGCAATATGGAAGTGTTCGGATTCAGGCACCTTCTGAGATTATTTTTCATTCCCAGTCTAGCTTAATCTTCTGAATCTCACGATGGTGGTCTCCTATCCAAATGCTAACCAGGTCCAATCATGCTTAGCTTTATTGAGATACATCCACTTTTGGCATGGGGCTGCCACCTGCTGTGAACTCTGCATTTCTGCAAAGGGGAATCAAGAGTGATCCACTTTACGAGGAAGCAGAATAGAATGCTGAGAAGGCAACTATAGAAATAAAATTTAATACATAAATACGTACGTACGTACGTACGTACATACGTACATACATACATAGGCTACCTGTCCTTTCAGTTCTCAAACAACCATCATAAGAACTTGCTAACAGCTGCCCATTCTATGCATTTAAAGAAATACCTACATTTCAAACATTAATTGACAAGTCCCTCATTCTTTACATTATTATTCCTGTATGTTTCAATTTTCAGATCTGACAATTGAGCACATCCCTGTCTGGATTACCCTGAGAGATGAGTTTTTGGATGCTCTGTGGATCTTGCTAGCTCCCTCACTGTTGATGGGATTTAGTTGGGGCAGTTTTGAGGGTTGGGAATTCAAGGTCCTGTACCACAGTTGCTCAGGTCACTACTAAAACTCAGCAGAGAGAGTGTATGTGCATGTGTTTGATTTGGTCCCCTGGCATCAGGGACTCCACAGGATCCCAGTCTCTTCAATGATCCTACCCCAATAATTGCAAGGTATGGTCACTCTGAGGTGTTCTCCACAGGCCTACCTTTGAAACAGTCTCAAAGCTGCAGCTGGAAAATGCTGTGGCCAAGTTGGTAAGCAAGATCACACAGCACCAGTCCTAAGGCACCTTTTACCAGCCACTGGGAATTCACTTTTTCTAAGGTTTTAAAAAAAACCTCCTCACTTCCCGATTTCAGGATTTTCTGGTGGCCTTCTCTCCAAATAATAATCAGATCTGATCCTGTTCATCTTTTCAAGATTAGTTAAGATCAGCTACAGTATGTGCTACTTCAAGTTGCGTTTCATACTTGTGGTTAGGACCCTAAGTGTCACGACACCAAAATAACTGCTCAACTATTGTCACATTGCAAGTATTACTGCGAAGTGATTCTGCTTGACTGAACTCAGTCTATGCAATTTGCACCATCAAACTTCCCAATTTATGTGCTATACGCATACATTAAAAATCAAATTATCACCACAAGTTCTAAAGTGGCATTGCTTTAAAAATTTAATTCTTTACTAAGAAATAGACAAGTCTATTCTTTGATTTGCTCCTGGCAAATACACCTTAAAACTCTTAAGTATTTATGAAAGATGTCCAAGGAGATCAAGATCTGCATTACCATTCAGTCTTTCAAATAAAAATATTTTTCCTGACAAGCCTGATAGGAATGTTGTATTACATGTACTTATTCACAAAAGATGGAGATCTCCTGTCTCTTAGGAAAGTATAAAAGTACAAAAATCACACTGACAGAAAAAAAAGAAAGAAATTTAGCATAACAGAGGCACAACAGAAAACATCATCCAGTTAAGCAGCAGCAACACTTAGCCAATTGTGGCTTCTTATGGAAAAGGTAAGCAGAGTTGGAATTTGTTGTTATTTGACCTGTGCAAAACTGAAGTAGTTGAAGGTTATCCTGGGAAGTGAGA